CCCAGAACTTGTGTAGTTTCCGGACCCCAATCACTTGTGTTTAGCCCCCTTTTTTCATTACATTGTAATTAAATCCTCATTGTCTTCTGCCTTCGAATGCCCAGTTTGCCCAGTTCATTGTGTGGTGTTGTGGACGTTTGTTGGCAACTGAATCAGTATGATGGGGGCCGCCTAGCTGAATTGTGCACGGGGATCAGCCGTACCAGCTCAAGGATTGCCGCCAAGTTGCCCAGCCAGGGTCAATTGCCGTTGAACCTTCCTTTGCCTGCACGCGGAGTTGGGCTGCCGCTGCCCAGCACTCGTGTACATAGTTCCCCTCTTCTCCGTGCCAGACAGTCATTTGTGCTATCCCGTTAGATCCCGTCCCGAGGCTGATGGCTCTTTGTTGTTCTGCTTCCCGGCATACCGTATACATATTCATGCATACATATCATCATGATGTAAACAATCAGACTAAATAAGACTAAGTACATATGTATGGGTATGCACCCTCATCAATGATCAATGTATGTACAGGTATGTACATACCAACTTGCGAACTCAAATGGGTTTGACTCGGAAACAAACCCATTGTCGCAAATCAGATGCAGCTCTCTATAAAACCTTATATGTAAGTTGTAACCCACTCATCACCTCTCATCACTGACAGTTCTGTGCTTCAATCCAGAGAAACCGACGCAAATCAACCCGATGCCGATTCATCAGAAAAAGAAACCTCGTACCGTCTGCACCTGTCAAAGCCAGGCATGTCGCACAATGACATACCTCGATGACCAAGATCAGTGGCAACCTGGGAAACTCGTCGATCCCCGCACGGCCACCCGCCATCGAATCGCCGATCAGGCCCTGGGAATCTCACCCCCACGCACCGGCGAGCAGTTATCCCATAATCCAAGCGCAGAGTCGTCCGCTGCTTTGCTCAATCAAGGTATGTACAGTTCCCGCTTTCTGGCATGTTCCCTGGACCCTATCATCTGATCTCACCCTTTTGCGCGGCGGCAGCATCGGACGACCCCAGTGTCCCAGTTAGTCAACCGGCCCACACGGTCAATGTTGGTGAGTGCATGCGGTTAACCTTCTCATCGGTCCCCATTTTTCAATCTGAACTATTCCACCGGCTGATCCCCAATGAACGAACTGTAGATGCTCCAGTTGCGATGGACTCCGTATTGACGGGCCTTGCCAAGTCCCTAGAAGCCACTCATCTCGCTCCAGAGGATCCTTGTGTGGCATCGTTGGATCGCCAGGTTTATGACACATGTAAGCATCCATTGTTTCATCCTGCGATGACGTGCACTGAGTTCACCCTTGTCCCCTTGGCTTTCACAACCCAATTTGCCCATAGCTGCTTTGCTGCAATCTCCCTTCGGCTTAACGCCTCCAACGTTTACGTATTTAATTCTAGTATCCGCTATCCACTCAATTCTCCATCCCTCGTCCCATCTCGTGAGTACATGGCATCTCCAAAGCCTGTGCGATTTGATCGAATTGGCACTCTGCCAGGGCCTCGAATGCAACCCCAATCCCCGCGCCTTGACCGAGACCGAACGACTAACCTTGCAAAAGCTCCCCCGAACTATCCCCACTGTCATCAAATGGCTCCGTCTAGACCCTGATATTGTTCGCCTCAACTGCTGTCCAAAATGTTTTGCAACATACCCATTGGACCAAACCCCGATGTACTGTATCAGCACAGAAGGCAAGCCACCCACCAGACAAAAACACACCAACCCACAGGAAGCCGAAGACCCGAAAAAGCCCCTGCCTGGAACCTGTGGCGCAATCCTCCTTCACAGCCGCTGTGGTCATATGGTCCCTATCAGACAATTTGCTTTCCAAAAACTTGCGGACTGGATTGCACGACTAATCTCACGCCCCGGCATGGAAGAGCTCTTGGATCAATCTATCCCCTCATCCGAAATCAGTCTCGATGATCACGTTTCGGACATTCATGACTCGCATCTATGGAAAGAATATAAAGGTCCGAACGGTTTGCCATTCACTGCGCGATCCGGAAATCTGCTTTTTGGTCTCTTCATCGATGCCATCAACCCTTATGGCAATAAGCAAGCCGGAAAACATGCCTCCATCACATTTCTGGTGCTTGTCTGCCTCAGCCTTCCATACGCCGTACGCTTCCTTCCTGAGAACATCTACCTTGTTGGCATAGCCCCAGGCCCCAAAGAGCCGAGCCTCACTCAAACCAACTGGATCCTCAATCCTTTGGTTCAACAGCTCCGAGAGCTGTGGACATCTGGACTTTACCTATCTAGCACACCTCGATATCCTAAAGGTCGTCTGATTTTCGCTGCACTCCTACTATGTTTTGCTGACCTGCCTGCCTTGCGTCGAGCGCTTGGCTTTGCAGGCCATTCCTCAAATAAGTTCATGTGCTCTTTCTGCGACATCAGCAAGGACAACATAACTAACCTAGACTCCGCAAGTTGGATAACTCGGACCTCCGCCAACCACATCCGGTGGGCTCATGCGTGGCGCGACGCTCCTTCAACGCAAGAGAGGGACAAAATTTTTCAAGACGAGGGTATTAGATACTCTGTTCTCACGGAGCTTCCATATTGGAAACCAGTCGACCATCAGTGTATTGATGCCATGCACAACCTCCTTCTTGGTCTGCTGAAGTGGCATCTGACTCGGTTTTGGGGGATGTCAGAAAAAATCACTAACGTAACCGACCATCCCGATCCCAAAGAGCAAGATGGACATTTAGTAGTTGAACCGGAGCCACATCAGCCGGATGACGACCTCGACCCTCCCCTGGGCGCCGAAGAGTTGTACAATGCCCCCTCTGTTGAGAACACCCATGGGACACGTACCTCCCCAGATGATATCATTTTTGCAGCCCCGTCTGGCGTTGGTTGGGATGATCAAGAGTCATCTCCTGTCGTGGACGATAACCCCATATTTGATTCGACAATGCTGAACCTAGTGAATGACCTGCTTCCTCGAATCTTTGTGCCGTCCTGGATCAAAGGAGTTGTGTCGGTTTTAGGCAAGGCATCATATGGAAAATTCAAGGCGGATGAATGGCGAACTCTATTTCTCATCCAGCTTCCCCTAATCCTTGTCAAGCTCTGGACTGTTGATAATCGCCTTCATTTTTCTTTATTGGAGAACTTTAGCCATCTCGTTTCCTCGGTCAATTGTGCGTTGAAACGTTCGATGACCCGGGAGCGATCCGATTTGTATCGCCATCACATTAAACTGTACCTTTCGAGTGCGCAACTCCTCTTTCCGACTGTCTCATTTGCGCCAAATCACCATCTATCCATGCATATAGGCGACTGCCTAGACAACATCGGGCCTGTTCGCGCGTGGTGGTCATTCCCAATGGAAAGACTTATGGGAAGCATTTTACAATCGAGTCACAACAATCGGATAGGCAAGTCCCATTATTTTCTCATTTTTTTGGTATTGCATTGCATGCTCTTATTCTAATGTCCCTCATTCCCAAACAGGCGAATTAGAAATCACCTTCTTGCAGCAATTTTGTCGTGCAGGCAATTTGCGCGCATTGCTTGACTCCCCTCACTTGTTCCCAGAGGCCTTGAAGCCTTACATTCCTCGCCTCAAGACAATTTACGACCCGGATACCACGAGTTCTCGAGCAACTCACAGTGAGACTCATTCTGATCACTTGTCCACTCCTGAGGCACAAAAGCTTGTTGACCTCTTGAATGCGAGGGAAGATCATCCGCGATGGGCTCTAGCCAGCTGTTGGACCCGCCTGAGCGCCGCGGACAAAGCAACACAGGCGCCCTTACCCTCCCGTTGTCAAAGCCATAGGAACTTCTATCACCTCAATGTTATGTTCTCCACATGGCTCTCCAACCGTAAGAACAGCGTGATAGCGTGCAAGTCTTATTTACCGCCGCAACTCCACTTCTGTCGCATCGAATCGATTTTCACCCATCATCGACTCACCCCCGCTGGCGAACAATTAACTGACACATGGCTAACAGTCAGGGGCTTTCCACCTCTTCCGCCATCCATCAAAGACCCATTCACTCGGCTCAATAATCCTCAGATGCAAGCGCATTTAAGATTACAAATTGAGAATACAGTCGATGTGCACGACAGCGAGCACATAATCAACATCAATGACGTTGTCGCCCATTGCGCATGGGTTGAGTACGAACCATGTGAGCTGGCTCCGCATCTGAAAAGCAAAGTCATTGCATTGGTTAGTGTAGATCGCAGTTAAATGTCTAGTACAGGACAAGTGTATTCAGAATATGTAGTCTCGCCTTACGCTCCATATTTATTATTATTAGAATCATATGTAGTTTCGCCGTACGTTGCATTTTTATTATTATTAGAATTAGTCTTGCAACCTTTTAAGACTCAAAGTGAGAAGCGTTGCCAAACCGGTTTGGCACGCGAGCTCTACTTTTTTTCTCACTCGGTTGATAAGGGCGTACAATTATCTTCCCCGGCTTACTACGACCCTGCGAGTATACTCGCAGGCCGGTCTCTTCGTCAGGTAAAAAATCTCTTTGTATGAGCGAGTAACATAAATCTCTAGTTGTAAGTAGCTCCTTGCGTGAGAGCCGATAGTGATAGGAGAAAATCAGTGTTTGGACGAAAATGGCGTTAAGGAGAGCATGGGAAAACAAATGAGGCCAGAAATTGGGTGGAGACACCTTTAGCAAGATCTGACTTGACTTGTTACCTAATGACTATGTGTAGCGAGCAGCGGAAACATCGCCGGGTCAAGTGCTTGCGCTGCTTCGAGACAAAATCGTTTTCTCAGCTACATCGAAGCCTATTCTGCCTGGTGAGGCTGACCCGTTAGATCGCAATCTTCAACCCAACATCCCAACAACTCGTTTCAATCACAAATTATAATAATTAGATCGGCCACTTCATATCTCAAAAATATCCAATCGTGACGCGAGCATATCTCCAAGAGCCTTCTTGCTCAGCAATCGATCCGAAATTTCTCTAGTTTTGACCTGTCCTATTAGAAAAACGGATACAAAATGTCTACCAGACGCGTAAATTACTATGAAAGCAGCGCTTCTCCCCCTCGAATCTCATATACTGAGCGCTTGGTAGATCGTATGTCTTGGCATTCATGAAAGCGAGGACATCTGCATTTAATTAATTGTCTGATCTTCCTCTATCTCTTCCCCCATCTCAGTCATGCGAACAGATATCGAAAGTCGTGCCAGTTCTCTAGATGCCAGGCTCATTAGAGCAGACTGTAAGTCCTCTTGTGCGCCAATAACTTCAAAAGGGAAAGGAGCAGCTGATTTAATTTTAAACACCATATTTAGATTATTATGGACTCATAGAAGCACGGCAGCAGGAGCGTGTTCGGGTTATAAGGATGGCAGACAACATCATCGAACAGGCCCGTCGCACTATTGAAAGGGCTGAGCAGGCGATTTCCAACGCAAGAGAGGGGCTTTTCGCGGACCTCGAAGCTAGCGATGGAGAAACGGAAGCCGACACTGAGCTCGCACCGGCGGCTCCCTTGGTCGATGTCGGAACCAGAAGACGCTGGGAAAGGCCGGATGGGCCCGCAGATGCGTATCGGGCCGATGTGGCAGAACCGGGGGGGACCCATTCCAATGAAATCAACAGAATCTCGAACGTGTTGGAGCTTCGTGATGGCAACGCGGTACCCCCACACATACACAACACGTATCTTATCTCAGCGACAGAGGCCGGAAGGGCGGCGGAGGAGACTGGAGACAGAACATGTGGACCGACAAGAGATGAGCGAGTTATTCCAAAGGCCGAGGACTTGGAGGCGGTGGAGGCGACCGGGGAAAGCTCTGAAGTGAAGAGGACTTCCGGACGGACAGCGAGAGAGAGACCAGTGTCTGGCTATCATAATCTAGGGGTCAACAAGAGTACTAATAAGCGGGCTAAAATCGACTGATGACACGCCTTAGCCTTACATTGGAGCAAGATCCCAAGTGAAGTGAGATCGGTCATTTGATAGATATATCCATTAAAAAATCAAAATAACCGAAAGAGTCATATATAAATTAAGAAATGGGGCGAGGAAAGAGGGAACAAAAACAGAAAAAAAAATCAAATTAGCTACTGGATTTTGTGCTGTTACATAATTGTTCTAGGTTTGATCACGCGCTGGTTTTGTTTGGTTTTGGTTCCACGATCATTTTGTTTCAGCTTGCGAGATTGTGTCTGTTGCTGCTGTATCTGTATCTGTTCCTACCCTGATTAATTTTATCCTCCTACGATAATTTATTTCTTTTCGACAGCAATTCGAAAAACCATGCCCCATGCGGGGTGGTAAAAGCGTGCTTAGAAAGAGATTTGTAGACTGTAAAAATATGGCATGTAAACACCATTGGAAATGTGATCATAGTGATTATGGGTCAACATCTGCCTGGTGATCATGGTGACTCCAGGCTGACATCACCCACAAAATTTGATGGTATTGTGAAAGAATGCAAGGTGAGAAAGGTAAGATAGATGGTGGCTCCACTATGTATTATATAAATATGCAATTCCACAAAAAAAAAAAAAAAAAAAAAAAAAAATAGGAAAAATCATTAAAGTATACCCCACAAAATTCAAAAAATCCATGGGGTGTTTGCAGAAACTTTTGTAGTGTAATCCCGGGATCACGTGAGAATTCTCCAAGTCGTAATAATCGTGTGGACCTGAATAAATGACCTCAAGGTGAGTTATTAGATCACCGACTAAAGATCTGTGAAATAGATGATGGAATAGACTGGAGACAACACGGTTGGAAAGGATTATTTCATCAAAAAGAGAAGAAGAAAAAACAGGAAAAAGAAGAGACTAACCTGGAGACAACACGGTTGGAAAGGATGAGGAAAGAGAAATCCTTTCCAACAGTGCTGACTCCAGTATAAGAACTAGAACATGATGAGTGTCACAAACTGTGACATGTGAGAGGTGAAATCAGATAGAAGCACAGACAGTAGTGTAGCTTTGGAAATGAAAATAGACATGTGACATAGATAACTCAACACCCCCCCTTGCTGATAACTGGTTTCAAATGACAAAAAAAATACGCAAAAAAAGGAAGATTAAACAAGACCAAACATAACACGATGTTTTTCTAGTAGAACTCGTGGAAGCGGTTTGGTGAGCATGTCAGCCAGCATGTTGTGTGTGGAAACATGTACGATCTTGAAAATGTCGTCCTTGACGCAGTCGCGGACAAAATGGTATCTGGCGTCGATGTGCTTTGTTCTAGAATGATGTTCGGGATTGTTCGCCAAAGCCTCAGCTCCTTCATTGTCAACATGGAGCGGAAGTGCTGATTTAGGACGAATTGCTAATTCAGTGAGAATATTGCGGAGCCACAGACCCTCCTTACAGGAATCCGCAAGAGCTTTGTATTCTGCTTCTGTGCTGGAGAGAGAGACAGTAGCTTGCTTGCGGGATTTCCAGGATATAGCTCCGTCGCCAAAGCGGTAGGTGTAGGCTGAAGTAGACCTTCTGTCTTGACGGTCTTCGGCCCAATCCGCATCTGAGTAACCTGCGCAAGTAAGGGAACCACCTAGCCGGAGACGGAGAGATTTTGTCGAGGCCAGGTAGTGTAAGATTTTAATTGCAGCGGACCAGTGGGATGCAGAGGGGTCGCGAAGGAATTGAGACAGTTTGTTGACGGCAAAGGAGACATCAGGGCGAGTACACTGAGCAATCCAGAGGAGAGATCCAATTAATTGACTGTAGGGTCCAGGAGATTGTTCCTCATTTGAAGTCCGCTTCACTAGGTCTTTGAAGAACGAAGAAGTAGGTGTTGAAGTGGAAACATGGGTACCGTTAAGAAATCGAGAGACCATGTCATCAATGTAATGAGCTTGAGACATATAGAGAAGACTGTTGTCCAGATCACGTGTTATTTTGATAGAAAGGAAATGGTGAAGATCTTCATCAGCACCAATTTTGAATTTGGCGCCAAGGTTGGATATGATAGAATCGACAAAAGAGCCTTCTCCAACAACAGCAAGATCATCAACGTGAACAGTTATGGCGCCGAGCAATTTCCCATCAAAAACTTTAAAGTATAGAGTGGGATCGTATTTAGATTGAGATAGTCCGGAGCCAAGAAGTGCCAGATGAAGTTCCTGATTCCATTGA